ACAGCATTGTGACAGCACAGGTCAGAACATCACTTCCACAATTTACCTTGAGAGAAGCTGGGCAGCACACACAGGAAAATGATGGTGACTCCGTAATAACTATTCTAGTTATTATTCTCCCTAATAACTATATTATTCTCCCTAATAACCATCACTACAAGTCAACTGGTAGAAAGTTCCATTTTGAAGGAGGCTGCTAAATAAAGACTAAGACCATGTTTATAAAACTCAATCAAAACATTACCAGGGGCCTCCCCGGTAGCGCAGCGGTTGAGTGCTGGGTTGCGAAGCTGCCTGCATCCTCTGCAGCGCCGGTTCGATCCCCGGCTGCTCCCTGGCCACCGGAGGAGGGTCCCACATGGCGCGCAGACCTCTCCTGCTGCCCGCTGCTCCCCTCAGCAGTGTACTTCGGTCCTTCTGCCTGCTCTGCTCCCCGCTCTGGCTCTGGTGAATTCTCTCACCCTCCCACCCTCCCGCGCTTCTGACTGTACCCAGTGCTTGTATAAATAAATAAATAAAAATAAATCTTAAAAATATAAAGTAACAGAAGTTTAAAAAAATTTTTAAATAAAAATAAAAAAAATTAAAAAAACAAAACAAAAACATTACCAGTTATTCATCTTCAAAATTGTGACATCGTAGTTTTCTGGGAAATGACTATATGAAAAATGAGGCAGAAAATGAATATCTGGCGGCATCTTCCATGTATTTTGGATTGTTCCTTCAAACTCTCTCCATCAATACTCACAGCAATTTTCCAAGGTAAATACTACTAGCTTTATTTTTATAGAGATATAATGGAAAAGAAAGATCCACATAAAATTTTTAATTATTTTTCAGTTTGAACTCATGGAATCTTATTCTATAGGTTATAATCCATTAATCTTAATATTTATTTTGTGGCTTTTCCCAGCTATGGCCATGGAATCTTTCTCCAGTGAATTGTTGTATGCTTTTTACATGACTCTCTCAATTTCTGATCCTTTCCTTACTTTCTGGTACAACAAATGTTTCAAGTTTCTCGTGTATTTTACTTGTCCCAATTATGGTCTCGGTCAAGAAGCCGGTGCCCATTTGATTAGAGAATCATTTTAAAATGAAACCAAGATCTGAGTACAAAGTGGAATTAACACTAGGGGTCACTGTTTCTAGATTATCCTAGAGAAAAGAGGTAAGATATACACGCATGTACTTTTAAATATATTAAAGACCATGTGTTCATCTACTGATACCAGACTCCCAATATCTACCTCATGGTTCATTCCAACTTTCCTCATCTCTTTCTCAACAGTGAGGAACTGGATTCTCAACATATCCATTTACTTGTTCAATTCTAGAATATACATAAAGCAATGACTGAACCTCCAATCCACATTCCAGCAAAAAAACAAATTTAGTAACTAAGAATATTGGTTACACATTTTATTGGTCTTTAGCCTTACAATATATACTCAAACACTGTTTTCCAAATGTGTTGCTATATGTATTATAATTTGGGTTTCTTCTATTTCCTGATTTTAACTAACTATTGCATATGGCTAACATTACTCATGGAATTCTCCTGATTCCAATAAAAAAAAATTAATTATATTCAGAGAAGCGTTGTTCTCCCTTAAACTTTGTCCCCTGTTCCCATTCTTATTTTTCCAACCAGCCTTACCCATGTCCTTTAGGGAATCCAGCTCATTAATTCTGTTTATCCTTTTTGTGTTTTTATTTACACAAATAAGAAGATTAATGTATATTTTCTCATGCTATATTATTCTATGATATTCTTTGCACTTGACTTTTTCACATAAAAATATAGATCCTGGAAATTAATCCATATCAATTAATAAAGATCTTCCTCATTATATATTTTCAGACTATATAGCACTTCCCTATACGAGCATACCATACTTATCCAACAACTCTTTGACACATGAGCATTTAGGTAGTTTCAAATATTTTGCAGTTATTAATAATGTGAAATAAATAATTGTGTTGTTAGCAATCAATCTGAAGAAAAAAAATCAAGAAAACCATCCCTTCTATAATTGAAACAAAAAAAAATCAAATACTTGGGAATAAACCTAACAAAAGGAGTAAAAGACCTATACAAAGAAAATTATAAAACATTGTTAAAAGAAATTGAAGAAGACACAAAGAAATGGAAAGTCATCCCCTGCTCAAAGATTGGAAGAATTAACATTATTGAAATGGCCATCTTCCCAAAAGCAATATACAGATTCAATGCTATTCCAATAAAAATCTCAAAGACATTCTTCAAAGAAATAGAACAAATACTGATGAAATTCATATGGAACCACAAAGAAACCACAACTAGCCAAAGCCCTACTGATGAAAACAAAGGAGAAAGGAAGTATCACACTTTCAAACTTCAAGCTATACTACAGCCATAATAATTAAAACAGTTTGGTATTGGAACAAAAACAGACACATAGACCAATGGAACCAAATAGAGAGCCCAGAAATAAAGCCACACTTATATGAACAACTAATCTTTGACAAAGGAGCAAAGAATACGCAATGGAACACTGACAGTTTGTTCAATAAATGGTGCAGGGAAAACTGGACCTCCATATGCAAGAAAATGCAACTAGACCATTATCTCTCACCGTGAACAAAAATCAACTCAAAATGGATAACAGAACTGGACATAAGAAAGACCTGAAATCATAAAATATATAGAAGAAAATATAGGTAAAACACTACAAGACATACATAGCAGTAACATCTTTAAAGACTCATCGCCCAAAGCAGTGATAGTGAAGGCAAAGATAAACACCTAGGATTACATCAAACTGAAAAGATTCTGTACAGCCAAAGAGACGTTAACCAAAACAGAGAGACACCTCACTGACTGGGAAAAAAATCTTTGCACTCCATTCAACTGATAAGGGACTGATCACAAAGATATACAAAGAACTCACAGGACTCAACAAAAACAAAATAAACAATCCAGTCAAGAAATGGGCAGAAGAACTTAAAAGACATTTCTCCAAAGAGGAAATGTAAATGGACAACAGGCATATGAAAAAATGTTCAACATCCCTTATAATCAGGTAAATGCAAATCAAAACCACACTGAGATACCACCTTACACCAGTAAGAATAGCACATATCAAAAAAACAAGCGATAATAAATGTTGGCAAGGATGTGGTGAAAAAGGAACTCTCCTACATTGCTGGTGGGAGTGCAAACTGGTCCAACCACTATGGAAAGCTGTCTGGAGTCTTCTCAGTCTACAAAAAATGGAGCTACCATAGGACCCGGCAATTCTACTACTAGGGATCTACCCAAAGGACACAAAAACATTGATTCAAAAGAACACCTGTATGCCTATGTTTATTGAAGCACTGTTTACAAAAGGTAAAACCTGGAAACAACCCAAATGCCCAAAAATAGATGACTGGATCAAGAAGATGTGGTATATATGCACAACGGAATATTATTCAGCAATCAAAAAAGATAAACTCATGCCATTCACAGCAACATGATGGAGCTAGAAGGAATTATGCTCAGTGAAATAAGCCAGAAGGAAAAAAAAATACTGGATGGTCTCACTTACAGCAGGAATATAGGGAAGCCAAATAAGACATCAATGTAAAAAAAAAAAAAAAACAACAGTGCAAAACACAACAAAGCAAAAATGGACAATTATAAATCAGAGACATACTGCAGGGGAGGAGGAGGAAGAGGCATCAGAGGGAGGGAGGGAGAACAGGAGACTGTGGTGATGGTGCACGGTGCCTTAGGGAAGGAAATTCTATGGGGACTCAACCTGAGGGGGTAGGGGGAAGCAAATATTGTTTTTAAAAAAATTTAAATTAAAATTAAATAAATAATTGTGTGGTTGCTGGAGGTATGTCATCAAGGTAAATTCCTAGAAATGGGATTAATAGGTCAAAAGTAAGTGCAGATATATATTGTTAGATATTGCCAAATACCCCCCCAAAAATGGATTGTCTGGCGTACATTAATTTTCAGCAAATTGTGAGGGTGCCTGTGTCCCCCACAGCTGACTAACATAATATTTGGTCAAACTTTTCAAGATCATCACATAGGTGAGTCCTTATAGCTCAGTGTTGCTTTAATCTGAATTTCTTTAAATATGAGTGAGAATCATATTACTGAACATATTTTATATATATTACACACCATTTTTTTAATCTTTTCTGTGAAAGCCTTTTTGTGTCTCTCCTCCCTTTTTTTCTATTAAAATCTTGGCCTTTGTTCCCCCTTTTTCAAAGGTACAATTTAGGCATTTTTTAATTTTTTTTTTTATTTTTTTAAAGATTTATTTTATTTATACAAGAACCGGGATACAGGCCAGAAGACGGGTGGGTGAGAGGATTCACCAAAAGGGAACAGAACAGGCAGACTGACTGAAATACACTGCTGAGGGGAGCAGCAGGCGAGACAGGAGAGGTCTGCCGTGCCATGTGGGATTCTCACCGGCCTGACGGGATAGAATCCATGCTGCAGAGGCTGCGGACAGCTTCACAGTGCGGTGCTCAACCGCCTGCACCACCAGGGAGGCCTTTTAGGCACTTTTTATGTATGTTTTCTTTGTATTTTCTATACATATTCTGCTGTTCATGTGATAAATTTTTACTTATCATATATATGTTCATTTAATTTCTATATCCCTTTTTTTCTTTAGAAGGAATTTACAGAACTTATATTGTTGTAATGTTTGCATTTTATAAACACATATTTTAATCACCATGTAGCTAAATGACAACAGCGGACCCAAAGGAACAAATTCATGCAATGATTCCTTCATGCAACACTTACTCAGAACAGCAACAGAAAAACACATCAACCTGGTCATTCAGTGACTGACATTTATTCTTATAAAAAGGAAGAGATAACTTCACAAGTAATTTAACTCAAGAAAATAAATAAAAAGTGAAAAAAATGAAGCAATGGAGAAAAATACCAAAAGGGAGAAGTTAACACTTAGAAATTGAATATTCTTACGAGGATCACTTACCTAGTCAAAGACTGAGCTGTGAAGTTTCTAGTTACTACTTGAAAGGTTTCATTTAAAATTCTTGTTAGTTCTAAGGGAAAACAAAGAATTTATTAAACACAGATGGTGCTAAATACTGTGTTTTCAACAGAAGAAAGGAGGCATAGTACATGTTGAACGAACAAGGTTAGAAATGTGTAAGTAGATAATCATGACATGTAATTTATCCGAGAAATGTATCTATTAATTTCTTTGGGAAGAAACATTGGTATTGCAAGTTAAAGGAAATACAAGAGGCTAAAATCCCAAAGGACTCTGGGGTGATAAATAGCCCTATTAATAACTAATACAGTGAAATCACAGATATTTAAGGAAGCTTGAGAAACAAATGATTAAATCATCACCTGCATTGAAGAGCATTCATTAGCCACATGAGAGGTCACAAGTCAGTGATGCTTGCTCAAATTCACTCAGTCAACATTTTGTGGGGGAGGAGGTGAAGGATTATGACACTTAAAAAAATCTGCTTTTGAATTCATTTAGATCCTACTATTAATTTCGTGTTGCTGTATATATGGCAAATTCTACCCACTTATTTATGTCCTTTGCCCCTTATAAGCATTTGTTAAGTCACTTGTATACTACAGTATCCTTCCCCTCATTTTAATGCCATTATTTGTTAAAGAAATGGGGGTAGACTGTGCTACATTCTGGATTTGGTTGACTGCATCATTGTTGTAACATTTTATTTGATTTTATATCCACCTTATTTCCTGAAAATTGCAAGATAGATCTGAAACTGGTTTGGCAAACATTTTCTTGAAAGGGCCAGATAGTAAATATTTTAGGCATTTTGAGCTATGAACATTCAGTCACAATTATTCACTTCTGCCATTTTAGCAAAAAAATAAATTGTTGACAAATACATAAGTGAATAGGTATGACTGTGTTCCAAGAAAACTAAATTTACAAACACCAGTAACACAACTGTCATTTGGGGCAGAAGGAATAGTGTATATGCAAGACAAATACAAGGGACAGAAGAAATTCAATGTGGTGGGGTAGAACGGAGGTTGAGTGAAGGCACCTGTGTTCATGACATTACCAGAAGACCTCAGCTACTCCCTTGAGGTCTTTCCTCAGCAAATACCACCCTCCTTTTTATTTCCTGTCAGTCATCTACTCATAGGTCAAATACCTAACAGCTATTTTATAGTTAGGGTACAATCACATGTATACTTATGGGTCAATCTCTAAAAACATGGGAGACATCTTTGCATTTATTTATCAAATATTTACTGAGCACCTACTATGTGTCAGGCTTGGTGCTAGGCACTGAGGTCACGATGATGAGCAAAAGACAGAATTTCTCTCATGAGCTTATAGTTCAACAGGAAGAGCAAAGACGCTTAGAAATTAATCATAAAGATGAAACTAAACTATCTTAAATAAGCTAAGTGCTATGGCATAATAGGAGTGGGGAGAGAATATAATAAAGAAATGTGAGCCATCATGTGAAAAACAGACTTCCCTGAGAAATCTTCTATTCACATTTCAATCTGTCTGAAATCTTTTTGGAGAGCCTCTGACTGGATGGGAAATTTTTTCTCATCTGTCTCACTTCTATCATTAGTAATTACTGTTTGACTGTCCCACATCTTTCAAGTTAACAAGCATCTGCTTTTCTTTCCAATTCTACTGTTGCAAGGAGCTCAATTTGCCTAAAGAGTTGATCTCCTCAGGAACCCAAATTCTACTGAAGCACTTTTCATCTCTTCTCTTTTTTTTTTTTTTTTTGGTCCATCTCAGGGGAGTATTAGCTTATGTTTCTCTCCTGGGATTCAGACAAAATTGTCCCTAGGGCATGGCCAAGCCCAGAAACATCATAAAGCCTAGTCACTCAAGGGGTCTGATTGGTAGGGTAATATGTACAAAAATAAAAAAGAATCTACCAGATAAATGTATGGACATAAAAATAGCACATAAAGAAAAGGGCATTAGTCCAGTGCTGACTCTGCCTTCTCTGAAACTCCTCTCGCCCTTCCATGCTGCCTGTAGCCTCTTTGAGCTATCTCTGCTTCTTTTTCTGTTCAAAGCAATTAAAATATTTATTTCCTCCACTTTCCTCCATATGTCAGCATCAGAGGTGGGGTCAAGTGCTTTTCTCCAAGGTTGTTTACTGTCAGATGAGGTGACTTGCTAACAAACTTTGCAAACTAGTTGTTTCTTAAACACCTTTCAAATACTCAACCATCCTAGGCTTTTGCAGATTCCTTTTTCTGGAGTGGTTTTTCTACCTGGCAAATTCTAGCTCAGGTGATAAACACATCACTTCTGCAGTCACATAGTCCCAGATCTTTTTTCTGGGAAACCCGGCACAAGTTCTTTCTCCACTCTGCTCCAACAGCTCCCTGAGTACATCCTCTTATAGCATTTACCACATTATGTCATTATATGACAATTTGGTGATTGCAGCTCTCTCTCTCCCACTAGACCTTTGACTGCTTGAACTCTGGAATAATTATGTCTTTTTCCTCGTTGTATCTCTAGTGCCTTGTAGCATTTGCCACATAGTGGGTGCTGAGTAATGTTTAAAATGATTTCATTAAGTGCACTTCTTTGTCTCACATACACATTTAACACAGATATTAAAAAAAAAAAAGGTACAACACTAGAGAGTTCAGAAACCATACATACTACTAATGCATTCTTTTTTCAGCAGTGGAGTGTTAGGGGCACTGAATAAATGGTCAACTATTCCACAAGCTGAACCTGGGGCAATTGAAGAAGTTTCTCTCTTTATCAGTCTACCTCTTGCCTGGACCCTAAGGTTTCAGAATTGCAGTAAGTGCTTGACTTTTGGAAAGGCTGTTCCTTTAGTTCTAAGGGGCAAATGTCAATAATAACATATATTTCCCTGAAGAGCAACTCAACCATGCAGCTGCTCTATGGATTTGGGCGGGGGGCGGGAGGGGGGTGCTGTTGGGGGATGGTGGTGACTGGCTTAACCAGCAGGCATTTATTTTCTCACAGTTTGGAGGTCAGAAGTCAGAGATCAATGTGTTAGCAGGTTTGGTTTCTTCTGAAGCCTCTCTCCTTGGCTTAGATGGCCTCCTTCTCTCTGTGCCCACACATCCCTGGTGTCTTTGGTCTATGAATTTGACCTTTCTTTTACCAACAACCTACTGACCTACAATTTCACAGGATCCTCAGCTCAAGGAAATAACATTCCCCAGGAGAGAAAATAAAAATAAAATAAAACAAAAGAAAGTCCGATACCCAGCTATGTTGGTATCTTTCTAAAATACTAACACCATAATAAAGGCTTTCTGCTTCTTTTTCATTATGTGACAGCCAAGACTGTAAACACTGTCGGTGGCAGAGAAAACAGTGTCTAGAAACAAATAAGAAAAACTAAAGATGAAACTGAGAATATGTGCACAGCTTATGCTTTGGTATTCTGTGGTCATGACAGATTTTGCTCTTATGAAAGTACTGTGTGCGGTGTTCTTTTCCTCTGTAATGATTTCTGAAACTGTGTGACTAGTGGAATTTGCTTTTCTTAAAAAAAAAATGCAGTGAGTGTTTAATCGTTCAGGCTGTGAGTAACCACATTCTGTTCAAGTATGCTTCCAGCTCTCACTCTCCTCCTTATCAGCGACAGTACTCCAAACACTTGTCTCAATTTTCAGATCAAAGCTGATGAAAAACAGACCTCTAAAGGGTTGAATTGCTTTCTGCATTTTTGTGCATCCAAAGAAAATACCTATACCACTTGAAAGGACTGAATTTTTGTAGTGCTTCATCTTCAGATTGTGAATTCTGCTTTGCCTTTCTGCTTTGCTTATTTATTACTCTGTCAATGTCATCGGCTTCATGAAATGTATCTTTTAATTAATTATTCTTGTCTCAAATCATCTGCTGTGGTCCACTGTCAGGACAAGAATTTATGTTAGTAAAATAGGATCTGCCACTAAAGGGAAATATCTTGGCTTATTTCAATATAGAATTAACCTCATTTAACCAGTAATCACCTCAAGTGATTTTCCAGATAAACCTTTTGTTGTTTATAATTTCTTTGACGTTTTCTAGACAGTGTCACTTTTCTACAAAGAACAGAAAGTCAGAAGCATAAAAACACTAAATTATAAAAGAGTCAAGAAGTCTAGTTGAGAGAACATTTGGAGAGAATTCTAAAGCTAGAAGTCAAATCAACAACAACGGTTAACAACTCCATTCACATTCTACTCTATGGGGGACTCTCCAAGAAATATATCCCTGAAATACACTGTAAGAATGGGTAGTTTTATGTAGATGTCACCTGCTCTGCCTGGGGTATTATTAAAACAATGGAAATGATAAAGATACAGAAAAAGGCTTGTAAGTGAAAGTAAATGAAGTTATAATAAATAAGAACAAGATAACTGATAAAATTAGTACTTCTCCCCTAAAAACAACTATACTTTTTCAATATAGTGAAATGGACCCACACAAGTGAATGGACCCAAATAAGCAGAACTTTGCTTTGGAAAATCATAATTAGGTACTTTGGGGAAGTAAGGAAAAGGATTTATATATATATTCCTACATTCTTTTCCATATAATTCCTCAGGAGTGAATTTTTACTCCTTTCCTAAAAGATGGGGAACTATTTGAACCCAAATAGTAGGAACGCTATGGTAGTATGATATTTAGTCATTTAGATGGACTGCATGGTGTAGAAATACAACTGCACTAGAAATGAAGGAACTCTGGACTCCTGTCTCAGAGATGCCATTAGCTGGTTTTGTGAGTTCAGGAAAATCAGTAAATTTGACAAACATTCCTTAAGTATTTAGACACTATATGAAATGTTAGAGATACCTTGGTAATAGGAAAGCTTCCTTGACTTTTTTGTTCTTTTCCCTGATACCAATCACAAAAAGTAATCATAATAAGGAGGTACAGGTGCAACAATAACAAATAGATGGGATGGGGGTGGGTGAAGTTGGAGGAATTTCAGAAATTTCAAGTCCTTTGGTCTTGTTGGCTTTAAGGGTACTTGACAAGAGGGAGAAGGCAAAAGAGAAAGCTGGAATTATAGGCAGGAAA